CAAAAAACAAAACTCTCTTGGGGCCTGAGCAGCCCCAGAGCCGCGCTCAGCTCCTAGCATGCTCACGTCTTTTAAATAAGGGGCTTATTTTTAATTTATAGCAACACGAGGCAGTAAAGCTGCCCCTTTCATATCTGCTTTTTCAGAGATGTTGGGCCTTTTTGGTCCCTTTGTCCCTGGCTTGAAGCTAGGCTTTTTTTCTTCTTCTTCTCCTCCTCTACCCCCCCTTTCCCCCCCCCCCCCTTTTTTTTTTTTTTTTTTTTCTTTCTTTTCTTTTCTTTTCTTTTTTTCTTTTTTTTTTTTTTTTTGAAGGAGAGCTGCTGCTAATGTCACTTCACTGGACTGCGCAACACTATAAAAATTTAAGCTGTCTCCCTTTGCATCCCCACATACAGATCGTTTCATATAGCAAAGCTGATCTTGCCCAGCCAAATAAATCCCTCTTTGCTTAATGTTTAAAAGGTAGATGATCTATAGCAGCCCTGGGTGTGTGAGGCTTTTGCGGCTGTTTGCGTCACTGGTCCTAACCCTATTTCTAATTAAAATTTGGCTTCCAAGGCTGCAGATGCTGCTCATAAGGTAGTGTAGTAAAAAGGTGTAGAAAGCCAAAACGAGATCAGTGTGTGCGCATTTCAGAGCTGACTGAAAATTTATTTTTCCTCTTAAATTGTCATGACTAGTTATGTTTTAGCTAGGCACCCGGCTACTTAGCAACCAGCCAAATGGACTGCTTTTTCTAAAAGGAGGTAATGGGGTCATTTTTTTTTTTTTTTTTAAATGTAGGAGTAGCATTGTGGTAAAACCGTGTGGCTTCTCATTAGTGACCGTTGTTTTCACCCTGTGGAGAAGAAGGACCTGACAGCGGGATATCTTACAGTGGCCATGTCAGATTAGCATGTAAACATCTTTGAAGCATGGCTAAGAGGAGAGTTCATGTATGAGTGCAGTCAGCAGATTTTGTAGAGTTGGCTTTTAAGTTTAATTTGCCACAAAATACTAGACTTCTCTTAAAGAAAAGCTTTTTAATTTTAAAATAACTGGTCTCACTCTTTATCCTTTTTTCATCTCGCTTGGTAAAAACAGGCCTGGAATACTGCAAGAAAAGATCGGTAGAAGCTGTAATGAGACTGTTCAGGTGACTGACTGCTTCACAGACCAGCAGCATGAGGTTGGCTGGACAAAAAGCAGTAATATGATTTCATGCCTTAAATAGCATATGTTTTTGCACCCGCTTCGCAAGATGTGGTCAAGCTGATGATGTCATTGGCCAGAGGACAAGGTGCAGTTAATTTGATTTATTGACCTGGGGTGAGGTGTAGCAGTGAAACCTTCTCATAGGGAAACCATTTATCTGAGGACAATTTCCTTTATAGCAGCAATTTAACCACTGCTGAGACTATAGATATTTTATCCGGGATGATAAAAATGTACATTGCATCTTGCAAGCAAAATTTCATTCTAACTGACAGTTTAGTAATTTTTTAAAGGATGCGTTTCTGGACTGCAGTCTCGTGTTATCAAATGGCTGAAATGGGGTTATGAACCCCACATGCTGACATTTACATGCTAAACCAAAACTGTATCCCGTCAATTTAAGGTATTGTATACCTACGTCATGGGTTAACATTTGACTGGAACCATCCCACTTGATACAGATTGAAGCCTAGGGGGCAACACATGAGTGAGGAGTCCATTTTCCCTCTGTCTTTATCATCTGGGAAGGTGCTGGGATTTCTACCAGGGTAGTTTTGCTGAATCCTTAGTAAGACTCCATTTTTCATACTAGTCTGTGGCTAGTAGATATATGATACATTTGAAGCTCTGCGCTGCTCTTTCCATCTGATGGTGGAAGAGAAAAGGATTTTTTTTCTCTTCCTCCAGAGCTTTCTGGTTGCTGCTAGATGAGGGAGGTCTGTACAATTCTGTCCCTCTTTCCAAGGATTCCTTGCAATTTCAAAGACGATATTTTGCTCCTGGCCTTTTTTTCTGGGAAGGGTTGCGGAAAGTGGGGGTGTCATTCTTCCCATGAAATAACTCTATTGCCTGATGCTGCTTCTGCTCAGTTTTACTGCTACTGACACCCTGCGAGTCATTCATTTCATTCATTATTTCATAAAGCAGTGGAACTGATCAAAGACTGTTAATTTTACTTTGGTGATTGGAAAAGCTGTTTAAGGGTGGTAGTATCTCTTGTGGCTATGTGCCGATTCAGGAAGATAACACAATATTGCTTCATATTTGGAAGGTTACCTTTGCAACAACACCTGCTGGAAGCTTGTTTAATTTTTAAATGAAAAGGAGGAAAATCTGAGTCCCTCTCTCCTCTCCTCTCCACTGTCATTTCTAGAGAAGGCTTTGCCATAAGTGGCAGGATGTCCTTAAACCCTGCTTGTAGTCATTGTAGTCATTGAAGCAGATCTTAAAATCGTATGGCATTTTATATGAGAGAGTGGTTAAATACTAGACACTCCTTTTTAAATAGTGGTGTTGATGTCTAGTACTCCTTAACTTGGGAGACCATACAGGACAATTGATGAAACTTTCAAATCTGATCTCTGTCTAAAGTCTGGTATTATGCACATATTCTGTGCTAGCTGTGTGGGAATCTAAGAATATTGCATAAAAAGAGTTGTGTACTTCCTGCTTATAATGGAGGTCTTAATGATTCTGACCTATTTTGTTTAGAAAATGAGGTTTTGAAGCATTAAAGCACCATAGTCCATCAAAATTGCTGCTGTTGCTTTTAAAGCAAGTAGGGTTGCAGGGATTTTTTTTGCAGGGAGGGTTTTATCTAGACTTAAATGTGCAAAGCAGCTCCCTGGAATAGGGTATCTGAATTTTAATTTTTCTTTTGGCTCTCTGTCCTTGTATCATTTTTCTGTTAAAGAAGTGGAATACTCTTATTCTCTATGAAGGTGTCCTCGTCTTTTCGATTTTTTTCTCTTGCTTGTTCTAAGAGGATTTTGTGGTAGTTATTTGCCCTCTTCTAAGGGCTAACAGATGTAGCTGTAACAAAATTTGGCATGCCCAGTGGAATATGTGGTGTGAGTTGTCATTTGTGGGAAGCAGTAATTTTCACTTACTGTCACTAAGTTCCTATTCTTCTGAACTTATTTATTTACAGAATTTAACACCAACAAAAAAATCACGTTCTGGGGTAGCGTCCTGCTCTCCAAAAATGATATTGTTGTACCAGGACTTTTTGAAATTTTTCCTGGACAGCCAGCTACTAAGCAAGCTCAGTTGCATAAAAATAAACTTTACAGTGTGTCTTGAGAGAAGCAGTCATAGTCTTGGTCCTAGGAGGTAACATAGGCTTGTATGAGATGCATATTTCTAATCAGTATAATAGAAATGAGCCCTAATAGAGGGAAAGGTTGAGCAAAATTAAGCATAAATTGACTGACCCAGAATAGATCTGCTTAATTTATATACTTGTAAATGAGGGGCTCTGTCACTGAAAACTGCAGAGTGTCTTCTGCATTGACTATTTTTCTCCCTCGTTTTCTATTGTGATACATTGCAATTCAGGGCAGTTGAAGCATAGGCTCTCCTTATGTTCAGCACAGCACTGGTTATAGTGATGGAATGCTGTAAATTGAAGGCAGAACCTTGCTTCTGTAACATTTTACTATGTGTTCAGTTTATGTGCAAGTGAAGTGAAACAAACCAAGATTTCACAGCTGCTAATTGAAGGAGATCCTGTAAATCTGACTTTTTAGCCTTTTGCAGTTGCCTTCATTAAGTTTTTTTTTGATCTCTGAAGCAGTCTCAGATTTGGTGTCATCCACACTTCATAATAGTGATAATAGTAATCTGGGGATAAAAATATTTACAATCTAAATATTAATTCCCATCCTCTCTATTGATTCTGCTGACTTTACAATTGGAATCAGCCAGTGTCCAAATTTGTCAGTTAATTTTTTTATTTATTTTTTAATGTAAACCTAAGGTAGCACGCTTTTATATTCTGTGTGGAAAGACAGGTGAATAAATTTCTGATGGCTGCTCATATTAATGAACTAGAAGCAACTAGGGAACAATTCCTGAGGTCCAGTCCTGGCTCTCACTGGCTTGCTCTGTGTGACCTTGAGCTACATCTGTGAAATGGGGATAATAAATATCAGCCTGAAAGTGGTGTTTTGGGGAGAAGGGGGATAATTAGCTAATGTTTGTACAGTGTTTTGAAGATTACAACACTACGTTAAGTGCCAAGTTTTATTACTAGATCCTTGTAGCAGAGTTTCTGCCTGAAAGGACACTATCAGCTTAAACATTGTATTTTTGACCTTTTAACGTAAGTCACCAACTAAGATCGTACGAAGAATCTTACATGTCTTCAGTCATTTGTTGTACATCTGACTACATTTTCTATGTAATCTGTTTCACTTTTTTTCCCCCCTGAATATAGTTTGTAGCTTTTAAAAAAGCTATGCCTTCACTAGACTTTTCTAAAAATGTCTTGCTAGTAATGCTACCTGTTCACCTTCCCCAATGATAGCAATAGTGAGAGGCTACTGTGGCTGACGGCTACTAGCATCATAATGTTTTAACTACAGTATGCTGTAGACCTGTTTTGTACAGTGTCAAAACAGGGAGAGAGAGAGTGAATGTATGCAGTGTTTTCTGAAATGGTGTTTATACCAGTGCTGCCATAGGTATAACTGCACCAATCTTAGCGTGGGCAGGAATTTTTATGAAGAAAGTCCGGATGTAGATAGCTTTAACTGGCTTCCCTTTTGGCATACATTAGTGGTTCTCAACCTTTTTGGACTTGAGGCA